CACTATATTTCTTTTAGTTGAATTTTATATGCTTTGGTTGAGATTTTATGTTGATGTTAAATCTTTTAAGCTGTTTTTGTTAAAGAATTGACTCTAGGGTGCATATTTTGTGTCCATGAAAAACTATTACAGAAAATATTACAATAGTAAAGAACTGTTCTTGTTAATTTGATGAAAACATTTTAAATATCCAGTGCACTCACATCAGAATAACTTATAGATTTGTTGTTAGAATAATCTATTCATCAAAAAATAATCGTTAGATTAATCGATTAGAAAATAATTGTTTGGTACAGCGCTAAGTGATACACATTCCTTCAAGGAATACTAGGCTTTAAATTTAAAAATGTTGCACTCTGACTTTCTAAATTACAACAGCCTTTCTTTGGTTTCAAACCTTTGAGTTTACTGCTTTACTGAAAACATTTACAGGGGCATGAAGTGTGTCCTAAATTAAACTAGCACTTTAGTTGCAAACACACTGCTGTATCTGTCTTTTGTCTCACCGTTATTTGCTAAGTTTAAAAACTTAGCCTGTAGTTCAGTCTGTGGGTATTTATTTTATTTTGCCTTTGTTTTAAAAAAGCAGCCTTCAAATCTGATAAAAGGTTGCACTTGTGGTACATAACAGTCACACAAAAGAAGAGAAAATCTGAACAAATCAAGCATCGCAGCCACAGTTTCTGTACTCTGTATTGTTCAAAATAAATATTACTGTCCAATCAAGTAAAAGACTACTGGAGGTTTAAAACTACTTGTAATAAAAATAATAAAGCTTGAGATTTTATTTAACTTTTCTTTTCTTTTTTTTTTTTTGGTCTTTTGACTGCTCTCTATAGGGGTTGTTTCAGTGAGCAAACCTGCACAAAGATTTAGCAAATGTTTTACATGAGAGCCTCTTCCTGACGTAACCACAGACAGGACAAGCTACCACAGCCCACATGTAGGGAGCAGGGGGATGTCATTTAGGTTACCCAGGGGAGCACATGGGGGTTAAGAGTCTTGCTCAAGGGTTAGGGCCCAGAGGGGAGCAAACTGGCAACCTTTTGATCCCAGGCTTGTCGTCTCTCACCTCTGCGCCACCATTTCCCATGAATAAAACATGTAAAAATAGCACACTACTTACAATATAGAACTGTCTTTCTGTACAATAAACTACAATAACATATTAATTAAAACAGTGTTTTTATTTCAGTGTTACACAGTTATTATGATCTAAAGCACAAACTTCATTTGGGCCAAAAGCAAAAGTTTTAATTACTCAAATTAATCACACTTTTCAGTAAAATTGAGAAATACTAAGAAAAGGGGCGAAACAAACATTATCCAGCAATAAACAAATGATAAACTAAAGTAAACAGAGGTTCATCAGGTCTATAATAATAAAAAAGGACTAAAGCAAGCCAGACTAACACAAAAAAACTCAACTACAAAAAAATCAAACAATAGACCTTTTATTCTACTGAGATCTGTCGACACACCGTTATGTCATGGTTGATGGGCTGTTATGACAAATCCACTTACAGTTGGTTACATCTGAGTAATCATAGGCCGGTGCTTCCTCACTTCAATGTTTAATATTTTGATCCTGGTTTAAGTCAATATACCACTCAGGTTCAGCCAGTTGAGGTAGCTCCTGGACGCCTCCCTGGTGAGGTGTTCYGGRCAYGTCCCTCTGGGATGAGGCCCAGAGGAAGACCCAGGACACGCTGGAGGGACTATGTTTCTCAGCTGGCCTGGGAACGCCTTGGAATTCCCCCAGATGAGCTGGCCCAAGTGGCTGGGGAKAGGGAAGTCTGGGTCTCTCTGCTTAGGCTGCTGCCCCCGTGACCCGACCCCAGATAAGCGGAAGAAAACAGACGGACGGCTCAGGTTTCAGCTGCAACGATTGCAGCAAGCAGTTCAAAGAGAAACTTTGAAAGATTTTCAAAATGTAAGAGAGGGCCTGTCAATGAAGGCCAAGTCTACAAGATTACAATGAAGTCTTTCTCTTCTGAAGTAAAAAATAAAGAAAAAAATGAAAATCTTTGCACAGTGCTGTATGTACGATAAATAAAATAATGCACATCTTTGGACTGATAAAGACCATGAGATAATTAGTTTATCACTTCCTTTATTTCATTGATTAAGCTTTATTTAACCAGGCAAATCCCACTGAGACCACAGATATCTTTTTAAAGGAAGGTCTGAACCTGATGACAGTCAAACATGCATGTTTGGGACTGTGGAAAGAAAACCGAAGCACTGGGAAAAAGCCAAACAAACAGGGAGAAATGTCCACCTCCACCCAGAAACACCCAGGGCTTGAAGGCAAACCCGGAGCTTAAACCCAGGACCACTAAACCATGATGCTGCCTTCAGCTTCATATCAATGCATTTCATTTATGACTTTTTGTACAATCTATATAATCTGGTGAAATGTAAATCCTCTTCAGCTGCATTTAGCATTCCTAAAACTAAAACGCTAAGTCATAACTAATGACACTTTAGCAGTACATAAATTTTCTTGACGGAATGACAACAAAACAAAACAAAACATCCAAGTGGACTAAGATTCAAGCTGGCTCTGAACAGAAAAAGACTAAATTAATAAAKGAAAGAAACAAATGTAGCAGGATTGAAGTAAAAACAAACAAACCAACAAAAGGAATCAGAATAGTCTGTAAACTCTTACCAGATATCGATCTTCAACCCATTAGACACCAAAAACTGTATAGTATCCACATGACCGCACAAATGCAACGCTGTATTTCCTTGATAATCTGTGGCCAACAGATCGGCCCCGAACTTGTGCAGGAGGCGACATATTTCCACGTTGCCACGGGCGGCGGCTAGGTGGAGGCCGGTGCGGCCCCGGTTGTCCCGGATGTTGGGATCACACCCCGTCTCCAGGAGCCTCTTGGCGAACGGCAGGTCTCCATCGATGCAGGCTTGCAGCAGAGGCACGCTGGTCTGCGACGAGTCATTGATGAAGACATAGGACATGTCCGAGTGGGTATCAGAAAATTCCAGCGTACCTGCAACAAMGCAAATTTAAAAAGTACGTACTTTAGATTTCAACTATAAGGCTTACCGCCCTGATTTGTACTGAAGCAGAAACACGGCATGCCAGAGAGGTCTGAGGGTTAAGGCTGCGTCACACTGCAAGATTTTAAAACAGTCGGCCAATTTCCACTGACTGATAGAGTCCACACGTGAGCATAAAAAAAAATCATGGATCTACCAGGTTTGGTCCTACAGTGTGTGGTGTACAGCCACACAGCAAGAGACAACACACCACACACAAAAAGATATTTCATTCATGAACATTCATATGTCAGATATTAAATCATGCAAGACTTCCTGAAATCTCGCGAGAATTCAGAAGACGGAGGACAAATCTCACGTGACCTCCAGAGAGGTGTGAATTCAGAGTAAATAAACATTTGCAACGAGGAAGAAACCATGTTGATCATTTGTGGACTATTTTTACCAGAGGAAAAACAATTCCATAGGACTTTTAACATCCAGCAGACTTTCTGCTGAGTCATGACAGTTTTTTTGTGTTCTGTATTTTGGAATCCACTGCGTGTTTCTGTCACCTCGCTTTCTGATTGGCTACACGTCTCATTCACAGTCTGAGAGCTCGGGTGAACGCTACACACACTATATCGGGCCAAAAAAATCAAACATGTTGAATATATCTGATTTGTGGTCGGGGTGGTCCTGACATCTTTCCGAGCCAACTAGATCACTCTTAATTCACCACCCACGGCAGGAATATCTGCTATGATTATCTTTAGAGCCATCACGATAATCTGGACTACCTGGACCTTAAGATTGTCAGAAGGGCAAAAATCGGCATGATTACTTTTCCATGTGACGCAGGCCTTAGGGATGCATCTTACTGCATTCTGCTAAACAGACACATACTTACAGAGTACTCAACAATAAAAAYACTAATAAATGTCATTACACTTTTTGCCATTAGTAGAATCCATAATTATAAAATAATTCATTCTAAGTTTTTTGTATGCTGAAATTTTATGTTCTGAACTATTTTTATTATAAAACATAAAAACCACATTTTTTTAGACTGACATTTAAACTCTGACTTATTTACTATTGACTCCATGCTAATTAAAAACTTATATTTTCAACGTTTTTGGTTTATAAAGTACATAGGTTACATTCACACTGCAAGCAACAGTAACTCAAATCTTATTCTTTTATTTTTGCAAATGCAACAAAGTCTGTGTGTGACAATTATCTGATGTAGGTAATCTTTAAATATGATACTAAATCTGATAGCGCTGGACAATAAATCAATATCTATAAAAATCACAACAGAAAACATTTCTATAACGTTGATGTGCCTTAACAAAATTCGTTTGTCAGTGCGTGATGACATACATCACAGGTTCAACAGCAGTGGTCAGTGCTTTCACTATTTACACCATTGAGGTTTTTTTGGACCTAAGAAGCTACATCTGCATTCTGCGTGGCAGGTTAACGGCTCCTCATGCTGGGGAGAGGCTGATACTTTGAATTACTTGTACTTCAGTTGTTTGTTTAAAAGACAACTTGCAGTTTATTAAGTATTATATGATTTAATTTTTATTGTGTTTACATGTATTAATGTTACAATACATCTGAGTAAGCTATTAAGTTTGAGGTTTGATGTTTCATGGGTTTTTATATGAGCCCACAGGAAGCATAGATGGACGTTGTGACAAAAATAATTGCTGCATAATCGACTAATTGAAAAAATAATTGCAGAGTAGTCAACTAACAAAATAGTAATTTGTTGCAGCCCTGCTAGATATATTGGTTAATTATCTCTATTTTAACTAGGCAAAATAACTATTTCAGATATTTGTAAATACATTCTGAATAATTTAAATGACATCAGAGTTACCAATAAGTTGTTTGGAGGGAGGCTTAAATTCAAAATATTGTATTTAAATGACTTTCTGAAACATGTATTTCAGATATCAACAATTTAATTG